TCTATTGTATATGAATAATGATCATTGATAATAATAAAAATAATAATGAAGGGATATGGTTCGATACACTCAAAACACAATGAATCATTACAGCCCTACTGTGTATCATTGGTTAAGTTTAAATGCTTACAGTGAGTGAGTGAGTTTAGTGTATCCTGCTTTTAGCAATATTCCAGCAATATCACGGCGGGGAACACCAGAAATGAGCAACACACATTGTACCCATGTAGGGAATCGAACCCAGGTCATTGGCATGACGAGTGAACGCATTAACCACTAGGCTACCGCATTGCCCCTCAGTGAGCGAGTAAGTTTAGTTTTACGCCGCTTTTAGCAACATTCCAGCAATATCAAGGCAGGGGACACCAGAAATCGGCTTCACACATTGTACCCATGTGGGGAATCGAACCCAGGTCTTCAGCATGATGAGCAAACGCTTTAATCACTGGGCTACCCAGTTGCCTGTAATGTTTATAACCTGTGGTAGTATTGATCTTGAATTGCTTATACAATGTATGACTATGTTTTCAATATATTCAATTTCATATCTGATAATCGTAACAGTTGGCAATTATGAATCATAAATCAACTTTCAGTTAGGCCATGTGATTTAATCCTGCGTTTGTCAGATTGAACACAAATGTTATGGCATGTCACTGAGAAAATAATCACTTGATGTTTCGTTCACTTAAAGTTCTCACCATCATGGTGACTTCAAAATCCAAGGACGTATTTTTCTGTGAGGAGTTGTCTCCCTTGGTCCGATCAGGACACATAATCACAATAATCACAGATTATTACTACTTTGAGCCTTCATCTGGGTATATCAATATCTAACATCGGTATCACTTTTGGCATCCTAAACTAGTTGGTTGGTTTGTTGTTTAAACCAACAAATTGGTTCAAATGGTAAAATTGAATTGTCATCGTTTGAATATGATATTAGGTTTGAATGAACATTTTAGTTTTATTTTGTAATGACCTGTGAAGATCTGAGTTAGAATTGGTCTCCAGCAATCCATGCTAATGGGATCAGGTGTTCAGGCATGCTGACTTGGTTGATACATAATGGCGTATACTAAGTGCATAGATCGATGCTCATTCTGTTGATCACTGGATTGTCTGGTCCAGACTCGATTATTTACAGACTGTCACCATATAGCAGGAATATTACTGAGTGAGGCATAAAACTAAACGCACTCACGTTGTGAAAATTGATGTAGGGGTAGCCCAGTGGTTAAAACATTTACTTGTCACGCCGAAGGCCCATGTTCGATTCCCCACATGGGTACAATGTGTGAAGCCCATTTCTGGTGTCTCCTCTTCCCCCCCCCCTGATATTGCTGGAATATTGTAAAACCACACTCACTCAGTTGTTTCTGAGTGAGTGAGTAAGTTTAGTTTTATGCCGTTGGCACATTGCTAAAAGTATTGTAAAACCACTCACTCACTCACTTTAATGTTTTTAAGATAATAGGAACAAAATGCTGAATCAGTAAAACAAATAATGAGTTTATCATGGCCTTAATTTTCAGCCAGTGTTTATCACAACCCAGGATCTTGTTGCATGGAAATTAAATAATGACACACTGACACGTGTGACGGTTGTCTGTCACCAGCCATCTGTGACCACCAACAATGTTGTGACAGTTTCCACAGTTCCTGCGTCATACATATACTGGTACAAGCTGTAACAATAGCCGCTGACCAGCGTCGTAGTGCTCGCCCATTGTTCTTGGAGGGGTCAGGGTATACAAATTCCTGGCAGGTCACACACGGCATCTGTTTACAGATTAATATGTGTTACATAACAAATTCTTCATTAAGTATCCTGGATCAGTATTACCGCTGACATTTCATATATATATATTATGTGTGCAAGTCCTGTGGCCCTGCTTTTCCTATATATACTGAGGGAAACAAATAAGGGAACATCACTTCATGGCAGGGTGATCATTTACTTATTCTCAGATATCTTCCCACAGCACAATACAAAGCTAGTGATGAAAACTGGAAAATATTAAGGGAACAGTGATTTCCAGTCAGCCTTTATTTGTTTCTTTGGGGCAGTAGGGTAGCCTAGTGGTTAAAGCGTTGGCTCGTCACGCCGAAGACCCGGGTTCGAATCCCCACATGGGTACAATGTGTGAAGCCCATTTCTGGTGTCCCCCGCTCTGATGTTGCTGGAATATATTGCTAAAAGCGGCGTAAAACCAAACTCAGTCAGTCAGTATTTGTTTCTCTCTGTATATTGTCACAGGGTAGTAACTGATGCACACACAAACACGAATACACACGCGTGCATGCATATGTGTTGAAGAAAGTGAGTGAGTGAGTCAGGTTTTACACCACCTGTAGCAATATTCCTGCAATATCATGGCGACACCAGAAATGGGCTTCATACATTGTGAAAACCCAAGACCTTTTGGCACTCAATGACTCTTTGTTTGTTGTTTAATGCTGCATTCAGCAATATTCCAGCTGGATGTCAGTGGCCTGTAAATGATAAAGCTTGGACCACACAATCCAGTGATCAACAGCATGAGCATCGATTTTACGCAAGTGATATTCAATCACATGTTTCAAACAAGTCAGCGAGCCTGACCACCCGATACTGTTACTCGCCTGTTATGACAAGCATGGGTTACTGAAGATCAATTCTAACCCGGACCTTCACAGGTATACGAGATTTTCCTGAATTGACAGTGGTGTTACCTGTTCACTTTGGTATTACTACAGGTGTACGTGTGTAAGGTGCTGAAAAACTTAGACACATCATCAGGGTGAACCGTAGCAATAGAAATTGAACCAAAGCACAAAGCAATGAGCAAAAAATTATTCAATTTTTTATAAAAGTATGAACAATGTCCAGAAGATATCTAACTTTCATTTTTTCACAAGTTCTTTACTTCTGGACAAGTTTAGCTATATAATCCAATGGTTAAAGTTTGCTGTTAACCATTTGAGTGAGTGAGTGAGATTAGTTTTACGCCGCACTAAGCAATATTCCAGCCATATGGCGGTGGTCTGTAAATAATCCAGTGGTCAACAGCATGAGCATCGGTCTACGCAATTGGGACAGGATGACGTGTCAGCCTTTTCAGCGAGTCTGACCACCCGATCCAGTTACCATGGTTACTGAAGACTAGTTCTAGCCTGTATCTTCATGAGTCGTTGACCATTTGATTTTTACTTGCATTGGTCTTTGTATCAGCTGGTTGTCTGCAATAACAAGTTTTCTTTCTCGTCATTCCTACCTTCTTTTCCCAAGACCTTAATCTTTGAATTCGTTGATTTAGAACCGAGGAATTTTTTAAAATTGAAATTCTGAAAATTGTGTGATTGTTAATAGCTATAGCAGTGGGAGGTTTAATCGATGTGTTGTGAACGGAACTCCGGACATTGTAAACATTCTTGCGGAAAACACTTTTTCTCTTTGAAGTTGCTTTTGATATGAAGTGAAGTGTGTCATACTCGTTCAGTGGCTTAATGTAATTGAGTTAAGCTATTTGGTTATCTCATTTGACAAATAAGTCCTGTAGTTAGCCTCGAGGTGGTTATAATTATGTGGACAGACGCAACTTGAGATTTGGCATTGGGCTGAGGTGTGAAGATTTAGGTCAGAATTGATGTTTAGCAGTTCCTGCTTGTCATAAGCAGCAACTAACAGGGTCAGGTGGTCAGTCTCGCTGACTTTGTGGATGCATGTGATAGGTGTGGTGAGGTGAGGTGAATTTGGGTTTAATGTCGTGCTCGAGAATATTTTGCTCATATGACGACGTGCATGTGTGTGTATGTGCGGCTGCTTGTACTAGCCCCGACTTAAGCTGCTTTTATAATGCTAGCCCACTGAGATACCATGCCGCAGTGAAGCATGAATACCCCACTCAGACACATTATACTGACTCCGAGCCGACCAGTCCTTGTTGTACCCATTAATGCCGAGCACCAGGCAGGGACCAACAAGTACCATATTTTAATGTGTTTTGGTATGACACGGTTGGGGATTGAACCATGCGATAAGAAAACCCAGAGGGGGAGTTAAGGTTGCATATATAATTTGGGTGAATTTTTAATTTGGAAATTTGAAAAGTGGAATGGGTAGCTGATATGTATAGATCAATGTTTTTGATGTCAGTCATTTGATTGTTTGGTCCAGACTCTAATAGTTTCTGTTAGCTGTTGTGAGTGATTTTAGTTTTACGCCTCTTTTAGCAATATTCCAGCAATATTACGGCAGAGGACACAATGTGGGGAATCGAACCTTGGTCTTCGCCGTGATGAGCGAACACTTTAACCACTAGGCTACCCCACAGCTCTTTCAGTCAGCTGTAAAGCTGGAACATAGCAGAGTGCACTTTTAATCAACAACATACAAACTGGGGTAGACATAAATGTTGTAATGTTTGGAAGAACTCATATGCTGCAGTGGTCCTGATGCTTTCGTTAGACATTAATAGGTTGATGGGCAATCGCTGAGTGTCTTCGATTTCATTGTGAGAAAAACCTAGTCCGGACTGGGCAGACAAGCAGAGCAGACGGAGACAGACTTGGCTGAGATAGACAGACATTGCAGATGCTGACAGAGATGAACACAGCCGAGTCGGACATACATGACAGATGCCGACGGAATTGGCAGATACAGATGGACATGACAGGTGCAGACGGACTCGGCAGAGGCAAACAGAGATGGAAGATGTAGACAGAGACGGAAGAAGCAGACGGAGACAGCAGATACAGACAGACATGGTAGACACACAGAGAGATGGACACAGAAGAGACAGACATGACAGGTGCAGACGGACTCGGCAGAGGCAAACAGAGATGGAAGATGTAGACAGAGACGGAAGAAGCAGACGGAGACAGCAGATACAGACAGACATTGTTGACAGCAAAAACACTAATAGTAATAGAAGGTAAATTTTGGTTTGATTGTGTTCAAGTTCCATTTTATAGTTGCAAAATCTTCCCAAATTAATAATCCTTTTTCTATTTTGCAGCCCAGATTGAGGTTATCCCGTGCAAGGTGTGCGGGGACAAGTCATCGGGCGTTCATTATGGCGTTATCACATGTGAAGGCTGTAAGGTATGTCCAAATTAACCCCCACTCACTACCCCATCTCCAACCACTCACAACCATCTCCAACCACTCACAACCATCTCCAACCACTCACAACCATCTCCAACCACTCACAACCATCTCCAACCACTCACAACCATCTCCAACCACTCACAACCATCTCCAACCACTCACAACCATCTCCAACCACTCCAACCACTCACAACCATCTCCAACCACTCACAACCATCTCCAACCACCACCTCCAACCACTCACAACTACACCACTCTCAACAACTCACAACAATCTCCAACCACTCACCTCACCTCGCCTCGCCTCACCTCACCTCACCTCACCTCACGATATTCCAGGCAGTGATCGAAATAACGGCCTGCCCGAGGCTGGCAACTTTCATCTTGGGCTACCTGAAAAAATCTCCACCAGCCCGATTGTCTGGCTGATCGATCCATAATTATCATGTCATGTATTGATAATAAAGGTCATGAAAGGGGGGTTGTAAGTTTAACAGGCTCTTTTTAAATGTCACAGACAGGGGATGTGGTGACTGTGAGTACTCCATGCTTGTTGTTTATAATTTGCTGAATTACACATTTAAAACAATGATACTTGTTTGTTCTTGTGAAACAATTGCAATATAGGAGTCAAAAGTGCAGGGGCAGGCAACTTTCAAGACGGGCAGACAACATTTATTGGTCATCTGCCTGACTACCTGATCGAGTTTGAAAATATTTTCAATCACTGGTTCCAGGGTTTCTTCCGGAGGAGTCAGTCCGGTCCAGTTAACTACCAATGTCCTCGAAACAAGAACTGTGTAATAGACAGGGTCAACCGGAACCGGTGCCAGTACTGTCGACTACAGAAGTGTATAGCACTGGGCATGTCCAGAGATGGTGAGTTGTCATGGCGATGAAGATGCAACAAAGGTAGTAACTTAGCAACAACTAGGAAACAAAGTAGATTGGGTGGTCATGTACACTGACTTGGGTGATGTATGTCATCTTATCCCAGTTGGGGCACTTGGATAGTATAGTGGTTAAAGCGTTCGCTCGTCGCGCCAAAGACCTGGGTTTGATTCCTCACATGGGTACAATATGTGAACCCCGTTTCTGGCGTCTCCGCCGTGATATTGCTGGAATATTGCTAAAAGTGGTGTAAAACTAAGCTCACTCACTCACTCAATCTTACATTGAACGATGCTCATACTGTCAGTCACTGGATTTAAGAACACCTGGGGATTATGGGTAATACTATGAGTTTCAAAGGGACCAAGTCCTCAAAGCTATCACAGTGTTACGACTATCGTAAGGCTATGTTAAAGTACTTGAGTTCCGATCATCGCAGTGTTACGACTGTCGTAAGGCTATGTTAAAGTACTTGAGTTCCGATCATCGCAGTGTTACGACTATGTAAGGCTATGTTAAAGTACTTGAGTTCCGATCATCGCAGTGTTACGACTATCGTAAGGCTATGTTAAATTACTTGAGTTCCGATCATCGCAGTGTTACGACTATCGTAAGGCTATGTTAAAGTACTTGAGTTCCGATCATCGCAGTGTTACGACTATCGTAAGGCTATGTTAAAGTACTTGAGTTCCGATCATCGCAGTGTTACGACTATCGTAAGGCTATGTTAAAGTACTTGAGTTCCGATCATCGCAGTGTTACGACTACCGTAAGGCTATGTTCAAGTTACTTGAGTTCCGATCATCGCAGAGCTACGATCATCTTTAGAGTGAGTTATAATATTACGTCGCACAGCATTATTTCAGCCATATAGCAACCGCTCTTTAGAAACAATACCTGTCATAATACATGAGTAAGTGGATTGGGTGGTCAGGTTTGCTGACTTGGTTGATGCTAGTGTTGGGAATTGGTTGAAGTCTCACAATTGATGATTGCTTCATTACCAAAGAACAATCATCGAAAAAAAAAAATTGGTTAGTGTCATTTTTCAGATTTTCCTATCCAGGTTGTTATTGCATATATGTATAACATGATGCAACTTGCTACTTTAAAGTGATGACTAATAATATCATGAACATAAACTTCCTGGAGTCTTCAAGAAATATTTAGTCTTGCCTTTTCAGTTAGTGAAGACTTGAGCAAGTTTTCAGGCCCTGACAAAGACTAAAACAGTAGTTCCAAAATCGTTTGTGTTCGATTATGAGAAAATGTCATTGATTGCTTGGTCGTTTGGTCATTGCGACCAATCTTCGATTATTTCAATTAATTGGGGGCGGTGGGGTAGCCTAGTGGTTAAAGCTTTGGCTCGTCACGCCTAAGACGCGGGTTCAAATCCCCACATGGGTACAATGTGTGAAGCCCATTTCTGGTGTCCCCCGCCGTGATGTTGCTGGAATATTGCTAAAAGCGGCGTAAAACCAAACTCAGTCAGTCAGTTCAATTAATCAGACCCCCACTAGTTGATGCATGTCATCGTACCCAAATTTCATGGGTCGATGCTCATGCAGCAATCACTGTATTGTCTGATCCAGACATGAATTTTTGTCATTTAAAATATAACTGAGAATGGCAATAAACACTAAAGAAATATAAATTAATTCATGACAATTTGCAAGCTGACTGTATTAATTAATTCCAGCTGTGAAGTTTGGTCGAATGTCAAAGAAACAGAGAGAGAAAGTTGAAGATGAAGCTAATATGGTGAAACAAGGGCGTCTGAATGGGTATGATGGTCTTCAAACTCCATTTCCAACAAACAACAACATTAACAACATCAACAACAACAACAACAATCATCAGTTTGTGACGTAAGCTTCTCGAGTTTGTTTGCCGCAGGTAACAATTGGTGATAAATGGAATTCTGCATTTTGTGTATAGCCGTGAATTTAAAGGGGTTCTCCTTGCAGGGATTAATGCTTGTGTAAGCAGTGTGTTAAAATCTGTATCACGCTAGCTGAGCCACTTGTTGGAAGTGCATGGGGCTTTCATGAGTTAGCCTTGTTAAGATACAGCATAGAGGAGACCTCTTTATTTCATGCTAACTTGTGATAAGCTGGTTCTTATATGATAAGTAGATGCCTAGAAAAAATCAACCGAGGAAAGAATTACAGCTTTCAGCACTGCTCAAATCTCGTGACAGATTTTCTTTGGTGAAAATTTTAAACAGTTTTGAGAAACATCATCTAGCTAATGCTAGAGTCTATTCAGTTTGTTTTTTAATTCTGATGCTCATTTTGTTTCACAAACTTTCCCATTTTCGAAGACCAATTTCCTTCCAGTGTAAGGAAACTATTTTCTTGACAAAATGTTTTCTTGTAAAACAGTTTAAAATCATGATGATGTACCCAGTTTATTATTGTTACTTTCTCGAAGCATAATATCTCACTAAACCAGCATTAAATTAATTTTTGAATATAAAATGCAGAATTCTTATGAATGCTAATGAGTCTGCCACTGTTTATAAGAATTGTTTTGTTGCTAGTAGTATCAGTAATATTATACCCTGGACAGGCTGTAATCTCTCATGTGATAAAGGAATGGACTTTAATGGTTTTCTGGTGGCACTGTACTGCCTTTAGCTAACCTCTTGCACCTACTGCAACATATATGGGCTTTTACACGAATATGGGCTTATTGAGAGATTACAGTGCGTCTTTTACAAAGACTTTCTGTCAAACGATCAGTGGCAGTTCTCATTGATGCTTGTGAGGTAGATCGTAATGCATATCTACAGAAGTATCTATTGTCAATTACGATATGTTGTTTAAAGAATACCGTATTTTATTTTGAGTCAAGTCTTTTCATTTTAATTCTTTTCATTTTTGGGATAGTTTGGAAATGGAAGTAAATGACATTTAATGTAATTACATGGAAATATATTTTGAAAAATGGGAAAATGCCTGAAAATTTCAGTTGGTTCTTAAGCAGTGATGAACTTCTAGTGTAAATGGGCTTTCGATGCGGAAACGTTAGTACTTGGTGTCAGAAATAAGAATATTGATGATGTTTGGGCCGAGATTTTTATGTTGTTCTGTGGATTGTGTGGTTCAGATTTGATCATTTACAGGCAGTCCAGTCTTGAATATATACTGGATATATGTAAATTTTGAAATTATGAATAATGATCTATTTATTCACTGACACACTGATAAAATATCAATCATAAAAATTCCAATATCCCTAACTTATTTTGACCAGTTTATTAAGGCTGTAGTCATATGGCTGGATTATTACTGAGTACGACATTAAACAAAATCAACAGAAATTATACCTCGAGATAGGTTTGGGCTTGTAGATAGTCATCAGGTCTGAAGAGATTATTTTCGGTAATTTCATTGCCTCATACTGACAATTCAGTCTTTGTTTAGTGCCAAAGTTTTCATGGCAACAAAAATATGCATTATGATGTACTTCATGCTTCTTATATCTTAGTTTGCTGTACCATTGATTCTTCACGTGTGTGTTTCTTGTAGAATATAGATGCTGAACATTCCAGACATTTGTCCGTGTCCGGAATTTACAAAGTCCTGGGTGATTCCAGGAATCAGTTCTTAGTATGCTATTATAGTCTAACAAACCTGACCGCCTCAGTGGTGTAGTGGTTAGAGTGTCCGCTGGGAGAGCGGAAGGTCGCTGGTTCAATCCCCCGCCGCGCCATACCAAAAGACGTTAAAATATGGTACTTATTGGTCTCTGCCTGGCCCTCGGCATTAATGGGTAGAACAAGGACTGATGGGCTCGGCGTCAGTATAATGTGTCTTAGTGGGATATTCATGCTTCACTGTGGCATGGTATCTCAGTGGGCTAGCACTATAAAACCAGCTTAAGTCTGGGCTAGTACAAGCAGCCACACATACACACGCATGCACGTCGTCATATGAGTGAAATATTCTTAAGTGCGACGTTAAACCCCATTTCACCTAACCTCTGACAAACGTACTGAAGTGAGGAGAATGTGTCACAACACAGGTCCTGTGTCTTAAACTGAATTATGAAATGCTGAGGGTGAATCTGAGTCAGTATCAGTCCTTCGTACAACATGATTGTCATACGACGGGACTAAAATGAGGATCGGGTGTCACAGTATAGATACTGGTCCTGTCCCAAACTGAATGTATAAATTCCCTGGGTGAATTGAGATCAGTATCTGTCCATAGTATGCCTTGACGGCCAGACCAAATTACGGATCAGGGTGCCGTTGTACAAAGCCATCTTAAGGCCAAGGTGATCGTAACTCCCATACCGTAAGATAGACTTACGACTGTTGTAGCACTAAGGTTGTTTTGTACAATGGCATCCAGGGCCCCGTTTCACAAAGCTCTCGTAACTTTCCTCGTAGCATTCGAAGTTCCTGTGTTATAGTATGGGAAGTACGAATGCTACGAGAAAAGTTATGAGATCTTAGGCTTACGAGAGGTTTGTGAAACGGGGCCCTGGACCACATGACCAACTATTGCCCACGCCCACTTGCTCAAAGTGATCTTAGTGCTACGACCATCTTAAGAGTATGGTACTTACGATCATTGTAGCGCTAAGAATGTTTCGTACAAGTGGGCCCAGGCGAGACAGTACAGGGGACATGACGTACAGGGGCTGTTGCTGTGTCCGCAATTGAGTTCACATCAGTTTCATAGCCAGACTTTTTTTAGTGAAAAAGAAATATCATCATAATAATAGTAATAAATTCATGTATTTTGCATAGAATTCAATTCTCCAAATGAATGTTTAAGGCGGTCCCTCTATTATTTCCTTGGTCAATATATCAGTTTGTACTCTATTTTCATTCTCAACTCCCTGTGAGGCGTTAGGTAAACTGTAACATCCCATCCTACCGGGTACCCACTTACTGCTTGGTGAACAGTTATAGTTGTAACAAATTGTGTAAATGTAGTGTAGTGTATTAAAGGCACAGTAAAATAGCAATGGCTTGAGAAGACATCTAATAGGGGTAACGTCAAGTAGATGGACCCATGAAATCAAACACACGGACCCGTGAAATCAAACACATGGACCCAGTGAAATCAAACACATGGACCCATGAAATCCGACACATGGACCCATGAAATCCGACACATGGACCCATTAAGTCCGACATATGGACCCATGGAGTCCCATGGACACACATGGACCCGACAGATGGACCCATGGAGTCTGACACATGGACCCATGAAATCAAACACATGGACCCATTAAGTCCGACATATGGACCCATGGAGTCCGACACATGGACCCCAGATGGACATGGAGTCCGACACATGGAGTCTGACACATGGACCCATGACGTCTGACATACTGACCCATGAAATCAAACACATGGACCCATGACGTCCGACACATGTACCCATGGAGTCTGACAAATGGACCCATGAAGTCCAACACATGGACCCATGAAATCAAACACATGGACCCAATAAGTCTGACATATGGACCCACATGACCCATCAAACACATGGACCCATGAAGTTCGACACATGGACCCATGAAATCAAACACATGGACCCCTAAGTGTACATAACATGGAAATAACTAACCCATTGTCCCGGCGTCTGAGTCCAGTGGTCGGGCAAGCAAATTCTGACACATGGACATTCCAATGAATGTTGTTTATTTCAAAACACCAGTGGATTGGCTGGTAAGTCCGAAACATTATGGACTTTTTTACATGTGCCCTGTACGAATTACACTCTAGCAATTGTACTTAAAAGTTAAACACATGAATGGACCCATGAAGTCATGAGGTAAACACAGACCCATCAATTAAGTAAGACAAGTACATGGACGCCATTACAATACCAAAATAGTTTGTATGGCGTCTAACATTTATTTCCGCCATGCGTCCCATCATGCACGAATCAAAACATATGGACCAAGATTTGACTTGGCGCCTTTGAAGTCGACAGTAGGAATCACATGCAGTACACGATAGCAATTGTTCGATTGGCTAAAAACTACACTTCCTATTTATATCCAACCATCACACGGTCGCCAGTTATCTGTCTTCAAATACAAATACATGGTTGGAAAAGTGATCGATGAATCGTCTCCAGACAAACCACATACCAATAACTTCACACAAAAACATGTCATATTCAAAATTCTCAGGCAATATGATGTGTAGTTGCACTCAAGAAGTCAAAGCCAACTCTGGAAAAAGTATATCATGCTTTAATGTGATCAGATAATGAAACACTGTATGGCACTGACATGAATATAATACAAATTGGAGTGATTGTGTTTATTGTGCATTTGTAGTAGTCATGTGCAAATTTGGTAAAAATGAAGCAGGTGAGCTTCAGAGGTACAATGACAGGTAAGGATGTAATATTATAGGTTCTTGTTTCATGAATCTACGGTGAAGTTTCAGTAGCCTGAGTTTGCGTGCAAGACCCAATGAAGCCCATTTCTGGTGTTCCCCCACTGTGATGTTGATGGAGTATTGCAAAAACATATCACTTTTGTCACAAAAGATTAGGAAAATTACCTGATTTCACATGGGACTAGAGATCAATTCATGATATTGCTGGCGTGCAAGTGCGGGCCCTGAGCCAACTCTGGAAAAAGTATATCACCAGTTTGGAAATCCTGTATTACAGACATGTATGACCAGGAATTACATGTGCCATAAAAATGTGAGCTTCACAGCAATGTAAGGATGTACATATTATTTCCAGGTGAAGTTTACAGTTTTGCAGCAATCACCTGGCTGCAAAGCCATATTTTTGAAAGATTAGGTTGCAGCCATATCGCCTGGTGTTACAGCCATATCACCAGGTGTTACAGCCATATCACCTGGCATTACAGCCATATCTCCTGTGTTACAGCCATATCACCTGGTGTTACAGCCATATCACCTGGTGTTACAGCCATATCTCCTGGTGTTACAGCCATATCACCTGGTGTTACAGCCATATCACCTGGTGTTACAGCCATATCTCCTGGTGTTACAGCCATATCTCCAGGTGTTACAGCCATATCACCTGGTGTTACAGCCATATCACCTGGTGTTACAGCCATATCTCCAGGTGTTACAGCCATATCACCTGGTGTTACAGCCATATCACCTGGTGTTACAGCATATCACCTACAGCCATATGTGTTACAGCCATATCACCTGTTACAGCCATATCTCCTGGTGTTACAGCCATATCACCTGGTGTTACAGCCATATCACCTGGCATTACAGCCATATCTCCAGGTGTTACAGCCATATCACCTGGGGTTACAGCCATATCTACCTATCTGTATACAGCCATATCTCCTGGTGTTACCTGGTGTTACAGCCATATATCACCTGGTGTTACAGCCATATCACCTGGGGTTACAGCCATATCTCCTGGTGTTACAGCCATATCTCCAGGTGTTACAGCCATATCTCCTGGTGTTACAGCCATATCTCCTGGTGTTACAGCCATATCACCTGGTGTTACAGCCATATCTCCTGGTGTTACAGCCATATCACCTGGTGTTACAGCCATATCACCTGGGTTACAGCCATATCTCCAGGTGTTACAGCCATATCACCTGGGGTTACAGCCATATCTCCTGGTGTTACAGCCATATCTCCTGGTGTTACAGCCATATCACCTGGCATTACAGCCATATCTCCAGGTGTTACAGCCATATCTCCAGGTGTTACAGCCATATCACCTGGTGTTACAGCCATATCTCCTGGTGTTACAGCCATATCAGCCATATCTCCTGGTGTTACAGCCATATCACCTGGGTACAGCCATATCACCAGGCATTACAGCCATATCTCCTGGGGTTACAGCCATATCACCTGGGGTTACAGCCATATCTCCTGGTGTTACAGCCATATCACCTGGGGTCACAGCCATATCACCTGGTGTTACAGCCATATCTCCTGGTGTTACAGCCATATCACCTGGGCCATATCACCTGGGGTTACAGCCATATCTCCTGGTGTTACAGCCATATCACCTGGGGTTACAGCCATATCTCCAGGTGTTACAGCCATATCACCTGGCGTTATAACAGCCATATCACCAGGCGTTACAGCGTTATTAGTGGTTAGTATGACATGTTGATTGTGTTACAGGTTATCGAGTCCCCAGTACGGGTATCAGAGCAACGGCTACACCTACGCAACAATATCCGACCCACAGCCCGCACAGCAGGAGTTCCCAACATGTACAAACAACGGCAGCTTTACTTCCACTACCACCACCACCACCACCACTACCACCACGCCACCACATCCAGTCGCTCTGCTCCGAGCCATAGACCTCATGGACCCCGGTAAGTACCTGGCACTGTTTGTTTTATGTTGCATAGTTTAGGAAGTACCTTGTCATCATGGACCGGACAAGTACCCAGTCGGGTCATGGACCCAGTCGGGCCAGGACCCAGGCAGTACCTGTCTAGTCATGGACCTGGAAGGTACCTGTCTAATTATGGATCACTGTAAGTACCTGTCTAGTCATGGACACTGGCAAGTACCTGTCTAGTCCTGGGTCACGGCAAGTACCTGTCTAGTCATGGACCCAGGCAAGTACCTGTCTAATTCCTGGGTCACGCAAGTACCTGTCTAGTCATGGACACCAGGAAGGCACCTGTCTAGTTATGGATCACGGTAAGTACCTGTCTAGTCATGGACACAGGCAAGCCATACCTGTCTAGTCCTGGGGACACTGGCATACCTGTCTACAGTCCTGGGTCAGCCATAATTTCCTGTGCGGCAATCTTGTCATGGACCCAGGCAGAGGCCACTAACTGGGATCACGGTGGTACCTGTTTAGGTGTTACAGCTGACTTGGCTGGCCACTGTCTGTCATCGGTTCCTGGCAAGTGCCTGATCGATGCTCCATGCTGTTGAGTCACCTGGATTGTCTGGGACCCAGACTCGACCCCTGTCTAGTCAGCCATACAGCTGGAGTACCTGCTGAGTCCTGGTAAGTTCCCAACGGCAAGTACCTGTCACTAGTCACTGGGTCACGGCAAGTACCTGTCTAGTTCTGGACCCCTGGCAAGCCCCTGTCCTAGTCATGGACCCTGGCAAGTACCTGTCTAGTCATGGACCCAGGCAAGTACCTGTCTAGTCATGGACCCTGGAAAGTACCTGTCTAGTTATGGATCACTGTAAGTACCTGTCTAGTCATGGACCCAGGCAAGCCCCTGTCTAGTCATGGACACTGGCAAGTACCTGTCTAGTCATGGACCCAGTGAAGCTCATGGTGAGGTTTTGGTCATGATGGACCAAGGTGAGTTCGTTATCTTGTCATGTGCTCTGGTGAATTATTGGCTTTGTCATGGACTCTGGAGAGCTCCTGGTCTAGTCATGGACTCTGGAGAGCTCCTGGTCTAGTCATGGACTCTGGAGAGCTCCTGGTCTAGTCATGGACTCTGGAGAGCTCCTGGTCTAGTCATGGACTTTGGAGAGCTCCTGGTCTAGTCATGGACTCTGGAGAGCTCCTGGTCTAGTCATGGACTCCTGGAGAGCTCCTGGTCTAGTCATGGACTCTGGAGAGCTCCTGGTCTAGTCATGGCTCCTGGAGAGCTCCTGGTCTAGTCATGGACTCTGGAGAGCTCCTGGTCTAGTCATGGACTCTGGAGCTCCTCATGGGACTCTGGAGAGCTCCTGGTCTAGTCATGGCTCCTGGAGAGCTCCTGGTCTAGTCATGGACTCTGGAGAGCTCCTGGTCTAGTCATGGACTCTGGAGAGCTCCTGGTCTAGTCATGGACTCCTGGAGAGCTCCTGGTCTAGTCATGGACTCCTGGAAGAGCTCCTGGTCAAGTCATGGACTCCTGGAGAGCTCCTGGTCTAGTCATGGACTCTGGAGAGCTCCTGGTCTAGTCATGCCCGCAAATAATTTAGGTTTGACAAATGACGTAGTTTATCATCAAATTGGAATTCATCGTTTATTTTTACGAGTCAATTAATAATGGTTTATTATCCTGAAATATGACGAATATCTTCATATACATGTCTACATTTCAACCCGACTGTCGGGCATGTGAATTTGAGAATCTGGCAGTCCGTGTTAAAAATAACCTGTCCCGGCAATCGGGCAGGCAGGTATTTCAAACACTGGTACCATACCCTCGCCACTTTCATTAATCTGTGTATGTATGTGTCGCAGTATCATTTGGCAAGGCGGTGATGGAGGCCCACATGAGGACATGTTTATACAACAATGACCAAATAGAGACCCTGAAACAGAGACCAGCAACAGCAGAACAGGTGGTCGCCTACAAGAGTATGGTGAGTAGACGAGACCCTGCCTTGAGTAGACGAGACCCTGCCTTGAGTAGATGAGACCCTGCCCTGAGTAGACACGACCCTGCTCTGAGTATATGAGACCCTACTTTGAGTAGACGAGAACCCTGTCTTGAGTAGATGAGACCCTTCCCTTAGTATTTGAGACCCTGCCTTGAGTAGATGCCTTGAGACAGAATGCCTTGAGGGTAGATGAGACCCTGCTCTAGCAACAGAATGTTCAGTAACTATTCAGGGTAGATGAGACCCTGCTCTGTAGCAACAGAACGTTCTGTAACTATTCAGGGTAGATGAGACCCTGCTCTGTAGCAACAGAACGTTCAGTAACTATTCAGGGTAGATGAGACCCTGTCCTGTAGCAACAGAATGTTCAGTAACTATTCAGGGTAGATGAGACCCTGCTCTGTAGCAACAGAATGTTCAGTAACTGTTAAGGGGAGATGAGGCTCTGCCCTGGAAGTTCCTTTTGCATGAGGGAGCAAAGAATTTAATGAACCAAACCTAAGTATTGAGAAGCCAACTTTTCCTTCCCCACAAACAATATGCTTTGCCCTGTCCCTACATGACAGTTATCCCATGAAATCTTGGTTAGAACCGGTATCCAGCAACCCAGTCTTGTCTAAACAGGTGACTTGGTTGACACATGTCATCGTATCCCAATTGCATAGATCAATGCTCATGCTGTCGATCATTGGATTGCGTGGCCCAGACTCGATTATGTACAGACCGCCGCCATATAGCTGGAATATTGCTGAGTGTGGCGTTAAACAAGACTAGTCGGGTTAAATGAGTCCCTGCCCAGAAAAGAAGGACCAGTGAATGTTTCCCAGACAATCATGTTTGACAACCCACAATTTTATCCAGGCAGACGCATCTCTTAGTGTATGTCACACAAGGGTTTTTAATTGTAACCTAATTGCAATGGGGTAGCCTATTGGTTAAAGTGTTTGCCCATCATGCCAAAGATCCAGGTTCGATTTCCCACATTGGTACAATGCATGAAGCCCATTTCTGGTGTCCCCTGCCGTGATATTGCTGGAATATTGCTAAAAGCGGCATAAAACTCTACTCACTCACTAACTATAACTGCTTCAGACTCATCGCCAGCTGTGGATCGAGATGGCCGAGAAGATCACGCTTGCGGTACAACAGATAATTGAGTTTGCCAAGATGGTCCCTGGTTTCATGGATCTGTCCCAGGACGACCAGATCATGCTGTTGAAAGCAGGTAAGAATTCTGTGACTTCCAGACAGATTGTCCGCAGCTGGAGTCTACTAAAATTCTATTTGGACAAGTAAACTCAGCTTGTCCATATGCTGGATCCGTGAAGATCCGTGTTAGAACTGATCTTCAGTAACCCATGCTTGTCATAAGAAGCAACAAACGGTATTGGATGGTCAGGCTCTTACGACAAGCATAGTCGCCTTTATGGCAAGCATGGTTTGCTGAAGACCTATTCTACCTCGGATCTTCACGGGTCCAGAAATGATAAAGATCCGAGAAGTTTTCACTTGGATGAAACCCACCGGTACAGGACTGACAATCAGTCCTAATCTGGATGTATCAGGGATCACAAGCTTCTGGCCGTTGGGGCGGTGGGGTAGCCCAGTGGTTAAAGCGTTTGCTTGTCACGCCAAAGACCCGGGTTCGATTCCCCACATGGGTACAATGTGTGAAACCCATTTCTGGTGTCCCCCGACGTGATATTGCTGGAATATTGTTAAAAGTTGCGTAAAACCCAATCCACTTCTGGTAGCTAAAGGGACATAACTCTGTTGTATGACTGGTCCACCCATGCTCTAATTAACCCGTCCAAACATGGCATAGCGGGATGGTAGTCACCATTATGTGACAAGACAGATTGTGGGTCATTGACTACATCAATGTGAGTTTAGTTTTATGCCGCACTCAGCAATATTCCAGCTATATGGCGGCGGTCTGTAAATAATCGAGTCTGGACCAGACAATCCAGTGATCAACATCATGAACATTGATCTGTGCAATTGGGAACCGATGACATGTGTCAACCAAGTCAGCGATCTTGACCACCCGATCGTTAGTCGCCTCTTATGACAAGCATAGTCGCCTTTTGTGACAAGCATGGGTTGCTGAAGACCTATTCTACCCCGGATCTTCATGGGGAGTTTTGGAAAGAAATATGGATGTTTTAAGGGGGAACCAAATTTCCATCGTAACTTAACTGTTTCAGGATATTGGAGACATTTTCTGTTTGATTTCAGGGAGTTTTGAGCTGGCTCTGATGCAGGTGTGTCGTGTGTACGATAGTGCATCCGATAGCGTTATATTCGGCAATAACTTCGTACCTTTAGATGCCTTTTCAGTTCTCAGTAAGTATACATTCATAGGCCTTTGAAAAGCCTGAAATTCATTTTGTCTTGAAAGTTCTGTATATAGTTTTTGCTTTAAAAATAGTCTTTGAAAATCACAGAATTTAGGAACATGCATTAAAAACGCCTAATGCAACACACATACATTTTTTATCCCTCTTTTTTTTTGTATAATTTCCCATGAATATCAAGTATAATAGAATGGCCAGGTGTTTTATGAAAGAGGAGGTGGGGTAGTCCAGCGGTTAAAGTGTTTGCTTGTCACACCGAAGACCCAGGTTCGATTCCCACATGGGTACAATATATGAAGCCCATTTCTGGTGTCCCCCTGTCGTGCTATTGCTGGACTATCGTTAACAGTTGCATAAATTCCACTCACTCAGTCACTATAAAAGTATATTTAATCCACTTTCTGGTGTATTCGCCTCATAGTGTTTTCATTGCAGCCCTTATACACGGGTTTTTAAATTACTCCGCTTGTCTGGGAATAACGATTGTTGCTGTGATGTTGCTGTAATATTGCTAAAAGCGGCGTAAAAGTACAGTCTCTCACTGTTTTATAGACAAGGTGGGGTAGCCTAGTGGTTAAAGCATTCACTTGTCACACTGAAGTCCCGGGTTCGATTCCCCACATGGGTACAATGTGTGAAACCCCGTCTGGTGTCCCCCGTCGTGATGTTGCTGGAATATTGCTAAAAGCGGCGGCGTAAAACTAAAGTCACTCACTGTTTTGTAATTTGTTTGTTGCAGGTGCAGAAGAGTCAATACTGATGAGGAGCATCTTTGAATTTGTAAAGATTATTCAAGACCTGAAAATAACAGACAGCGAGCTGGCTCTCCTCAGTGCTCTGATTTTAATAAGTTCAGGTGAGTTAGAACACACTGAGTTCTGTTTGGGGAAACAGGCTGCCTCAGAGACAGCCCTTAATCTTAAACACCCAGAGGGATTTCTTGTTAGAATTGGCAGGTTATTCTTGTCCTGGGTGACTTCATGGAATTGTTGTCTAGTAGTGATGTTCCGCTGATCAAAAATAATCGAATCGATCGAAAGAAGGATTAAAAATTATTATCGATTGTAAAAAACATATTTTCGATTAATCGGAATTTGTTGTTATTGTATAACACCCTTGAATGAAGTAAACTAACCATCAAATTTGACGAATATTCACAAACAAACATGCATAAAGCTATGCACGTTGTAAAATTTTAATCACTTTTATTGTTTAATTACAATTCCAGTGTCTTTCTTGCATGCGTGCCTTTCATTGCAGGACAGCATTAGTTATAAAAAAAACATTAATTAGAAAAAAACTACGGAAAAACCCTTAAAATTGGTGATTACGTTAAAAATGTATATATTTCAATTATAATCGATAATCGGTCACCACAATCCCCCGATAATCGATAGTGGATTTGTTTTCCGATTCCCAACACTAGTTGTCTGACTTTGCGCAAACCATTTGGTTACTTGGCACAAAGCGTTTGATTACTTGGTGCAAAGCATTTCAGGGTGCGATTTCGCTATTTACAGCATGCACTGGTGCGTGTTCAAAATGGCTGGTGCAGGTTGCCGTTAGTAACAGGTTGCACCTGGTGCAGCTAACAATAAATCCTCCAACATCTTTCCAGATAGTATTCCCAACGCTGGTTGGCAGTGGTTTTGCAACATTGCCAACAGCGTTGAGCCAACGTCCGAATGCTATCTGGGTTATAGCTGATGTGTGTTTTAATTGGGAAGTAAGTGACTGGAAGTAATACATTTCTCTACACGTGACTTGTTACTAGTGTTGGGAATTGGTTGCAGTATCACAATTGATAATGGGTTCATTACCAACGAGCAATCATTGAATAAAATTGTTTAGCGTCATTTTTCAGATTTTCAGACATTACTCAGGTTGTTAATGCAGATAAGTACAACATGGTCATCTGTTTTGTTTTTCTTTATTTAGAAACTGTGCATATTGTATTTGCATATTTCACATCCAATTTAAAATGTTGCAAATTGCTACTTTAAGTGATGACTAATATATCATGAACATAAACTTCCTGGAGTCTTCAAGAAATATTCAGTCATGACCTTTCAGTAAGTGAAGTGAAGTTTCTAAGAATTTAACACGTTTTCAGACCCTGACAACTTCTAAGATATGTTCCATCGTCAAGTGTTGCTTACACTTAAACAGTAGTTCAAAAATCGTTTGTGTTCGCTTATTAGAAGATGTGATTGATTGCTTGGTCATTTGGTCACTGCGACCACTCTTCGATTATTTCAATTAATCGGACCACCACTACTTGTTACAAGCAGAAACATTTGTGTACTCATAAATCAGTTATGTAGAAGTAATCATATAAATGAGATTTATAAATAAAGGAAATGCAAAACTGAAACAGAATCATTCATCATTTATCATGATGGGGTCAGGTTCTGTTGAATGTATCTGATACTGAGTACTTGTTATTAAAATTGCTAAACAAGAATTTGTGTTATTTTAAGAACCAGGGACATTATTTAATAATGCAATCAAAATTTTGATGGTGCAGCCAAGCCTATAAGCCAGTTTGCACTTGAAGTAGGTATTGAAAAAAAAAGAAAATTCACACCCTGCATTTGGTTCCTTGGTTCTGTATGTATTCCTGCTTATATTTTGAATCACAGGTTTGTCTGGTCCAGACTCAATGTTTTACAGGCTGCTGGCTGCTGTCATTTTGCTGGAATATTGCGGAGTGCAACGCTCGTCAAAAAATTGCTGGAATATTGCGGAGTGCAACACTCGTCAAAAATTGCAAGACTGCTGTTGTATAACATGAATATTTTATTTATATACAAAACGTGGAAACCTGATGAGTAAGATTTGAAGCTACTCGCCAAAATTGTTTACTTATCAGGTATTTTACTTATCAAAACTTATCAAAACCTGCAAATGACAACCATATGTATGTATATGTATACAGCAGAATAACAGACAACATTTGTAAGTAATTACAAACTTATCAGGGCTGGCCTCCAGTTGTCAGTGTATTGTCAACTGCATGACGCCAGCGAGCTGTAAGTAGGATGTTTGTTTAACTGGAGACTGACATGTGCCCCTCATGTCGGATTATGCGGTAATCACAAATTTAGTTATTGATCTCTTTAGTGAAGTAATTTACTTCCTGGGACCGTGAGAAGACGTTTAGTTAAGCGGTATTGTTTACTTATCCGAGTTTAGTTAACCGGACTCTAATAGTGATAATTAATGAAGAAATTTACCGGGACCAAAGAATAGTGTTTACTTATCAGGTCTGTTTAGTTAAGCAGTCTTTACTTAGGTGGTTTCCACTGTACATCTCTGGCTTCCTGTAAATCTAGTATATATAATGTTTTTACATCTGTCTTTAATAACCTTAAGAAGGGGCAAGAAGTAGCCCAGAAATGTTGTGTTATACAATAAAGAAGAAGTTGCCATCCATATATTTGTCTTATATATTCACCAACTTCTAAATGCCTCTCAAGAAACTTCCATGAATATTGATGAGTTTGGCATCACGCAACATACTCTTATCGCCTTTATGTAGCTGGAATGTTTTTCATAAGGAATATATCTATAATGTATTAGGAATGCGTCTTTACGTCTTGTTTTGTTTCAAGCTTATTGATTTTGTGGAAATGATTGGATTATCCTCAGTGTTCACGAATGGTGTTTCAAAGTAACAGGACATTGGGTCCTGTAAGTTTCAGATGTCTGTCTGACCCATTGAAAATGCACAGGACCCATGGAATAAAATTATACACACATTTCAGATTTAATATTTCTTATAATTGACATTGAAATTATTAACAAACATAAGATTTATAAACAGCAAACAAGTGTCTCATGTCACATAAAACAACTTCGGTCAAAGTCATTGTGAAATATACAGTCAGACACTGGGGCCGGCAGGTTGTAGACTTCTGTCTGACCGTTGGCGAATCTGCCGGATTTGTCAGAGGGTCAGACGCTATTCGTGAACACTGTATCCTGATTGCTTTTTGTCCATTTGGACTGATTTGTTGTCAGTCTGCTGTTTTCACTTTCTGTGGAATTGTTTCTTTTTGGAGGAACAGTTTAATATTTATCGTTTCTATTTTCAGATCGACCAGGTTTGAAAGACACAACTGATATCCAAAAACTACATGAAAAAATTTTGACAGCTCTGAAATTAGAAATTGGCGCCAACCACCACGATGATCATGAATTGCTTTCGAAGTTGTTGACACAAACCCCCATTTTGCGGACATTTTCTCTACACCATATTCGTGCTCTCAATAGGTTTCGAGAGACTGCTGCTGATGTAGAGTTCCCTGCCCTTCACAAAGAACTCTTCTCTGTGGAGACCATAGAATCATCATGAGAGAACTTCAGATTCTAGGGATGTGTTAATTTTTCAAAGATTCTGGTTGGATGATTTGTGTGACCTGACACTCCCTCTTCCATAAATGGAATCTGCCAAAGCTGAGGCTGGAAGAGTTCATCCATGATTTCAAGGGGTGTTGGATAGAACATAATGAAATACATTTGATTGTTCCAGAATTCTGGGAATGGAAGAGAATTTTCCGCATGTGCTTTGACAGAGGTCAGAGGTTGTTGCAATGTGATTATTCAAAGTTGTTTTTCTTCCTTTTTTTTTTTTTCAAAATGAATAGCGTTTTACCACCATCATAGTGTATATTACATAATTCCTCCATGCATGTTGTGTGCTGTACCTATCACACGTTTCACATATATCGCCACCGTATCACACGTGTGAGTGGACAATACGAGCAGCACGGAGTCCTATAGATCTAGATCTTGTATAATCGGGTTATATATACTGTATAGTTCTATATTCATCCATTATCATCCTACGAGAGTTACCATTATGTAGGTTAGTGTCTAATTCTGAAAATTTGAATATCGGTCAAATTCCAGAATCGCTCCTTATGATTGAAACATTTCAGAAATCACCAGCGATTCCTCACATGTGTTACGTCTAATTATCCCTTACCTCAATCTTGAATGGATCCGTTACCAAATCTGTTCTTTTCATTGTAAACTTTATTCACTCCTCATTGTAATATCTTATTTTCCCGCGCTGTTAAAAGACAGTTTCAGTGAGTTGTAGAGTGGTTGGAATGCAACCATTGCAGATTTTTGTAAAAATCAAGTTTCTGTTGAATATGTGCTTCAGAAATAGTAAAAATTCTTCAGCTGAAGGTTTGTGTGGGTCTGTATTTTTTTATAATTTACAACGTTCGACATATTAAGAGCCTAAGCCAGGAGAAAATGAGTGTCTTATTTCAGCTGATCCTGGTATGTTGGTTCGGGTTGTTCTTTCAATTTTTAAAATAATTGTTTTGTCAAAATGGTAATTTGCAGTATTTGGGGTATAAGCGTTTTTAGAATGACATTGTTGAAGATTAAAAGTGATGACTTTCTATCTATAGTGAACTGTAATTAAATTAAAATATTGAAATATTATGGTGAAACTTGAAAAACACCCGAAATTTAATGATGATTATTCAGATAAAGGTCAAACAGGAAATTTGAAATATATATTCTTTTTTGCACCTAAAGCCATAATGAACATTTAAAAACTCGGATTTCTCTGATCTCTCTCTGTTTTGAAGACTTATAAGAAGACAGGTTCAAGGTTGAGTATCCATAAAGTGGAAAGGGCAGTTAGGGTGTTTGATCGTCACGCTGGTTACCCAGGTTTGATTCCCTATATGGGTATCATGGAAAACCTGTCTATGGGTCATCCACCATGATATTGCTGAAATATTTTGAAGGTCATCCACCATGATATTGCTGAAATATTTTGAAGGTCATCCACCATGATATTGCTGAAATATTTTGGAAATGGTAACAAAACCCAAATTAACTGAAATCATATGATTATTGGCAAAGGGCATTTAATGTGTCGAAAACGGTAGTGCATTTACAACATATACGTTTTTAAGTATGCAATTAGAGTATCTGTTTGGAACCTGATTGAAAATTTGCCTAGCTTTGTGCTGAGAAAAGTACAACAGGCCTTTTATTTTTTATTAGTTGGATTTTAAAAATTACCTAAATTTAATAATAGTAATAATAGATTTATATAGCGCCTAGTATCCCTCAAAAGGTCCTCACTGGCACCTCACTACTTTCAATGTAAATAGTTGTGAAAAAGAAGTAAATAATTACATAACTTACACATTAGGTCTGACAGTACTAGCGTCCAAACGATAAACGATTATTTGGGGATTTTTTGGCCTGAAGACTGAAGAATATTATAATACTATTCACCAATTTTTGTGACCAGTGGTAATAACATCTCATTTTTATTAATAATTTTTTTTTAATTTCAACTGATCTTAACATTTAATTGTAGAAATATTTTGGGTCAATAGTAATTATATTTTTGTCGAATTTCAGTTGTAATTCTTTTGTCACAAGATCTTGTAAACCAGCTAAAGGAGCATATGAGGCCTGATGTACCAGAGTTCATTAGATGAGACCATTCTTGTCAAGTTTGTAGCATGTTTAAGCTTTGTCCTTAATGCAATGTTGATGCAGAGTACAAAATCTTGATGGCAGGCATTTCGAAGGCAGCACCACCCTAAGCGTACAAGATTGGGGCAGTCAGGAACGAGCACTAAAACCTTTTATGCCTTACAGTCGAAAAACGTACATTGCTGTGTTTTGTTGTGTGTGTTTTTCCAGAAAATACATGACCAATTTTTCGGGGAGTGAAATTTATATATATATATATCGGTTTTAATGATTATTTTGTTAAAACTATTTCTGAAAATGTCTGTGCTTTATTTCAGTACAGAAGAGGATATTTCAGATGATTTGATTGGTTGATTTGATTGGTTGATATCCCACAATGCAGTGCATATTTACGTAAGGGGAATAATAATCCAAATCTTACTGAGAGAATAATGATTTCGTGATTTGACCTTGACACATTTACGTTTGTAATTTCCAACAATTATGATAATCTTAACAAGCCCATGATCTCAAATAGCGTTGATTAATGACACAATTTGAGATTGGATTTTGAATTTATGACATGAAATATGAAGACTTTACGGTTGAAGTTGTTGTGTTGATGTAAAATAGCAGGAACTGACTGTTCACCTGTCCGTGCCATTTTATTATCGTGTATGATATGTTCATATTTCACACCCGATTTCATAGGCATTTACATTTTCTTTGACCTACGAAGTTGATCTTCACAAAAAGAGTATTTTATGATCAGTTTTAATATGTACAGTGTCCTGTAAAATGTCAAGGCTTTTGACTTCCTTGTTTCATACAAGTTATATGAAGTGTCTCAGACAGTTACCTCCCTTTGTTTATTGATTTTCACATTTTGTGACTTTTTTCCAGTATATTTACCTCACTCATATTTACTAGTTTTGTGTGAAATTTTATGGAAATGAGCTAAAACATGAAATGAAACAGATCAGGCTGTTAGTTTATTTATGAACAAGGGGAGGTAACTCTTATAAGGTAATCAATCTCAATGTGTTTTAATAGGATGGAAATCCATCCAGCCATGCATTTGTTAAATATGGTAATTACCCAAGATTGATTATCTTATAAGACACTTTTATTGTTTATAATTATGACAGTTAAACAGATATATTGAAGTTTGTATTGTACATGGTACTCGTCTATACAAGAGCTCTTCAACTTGCTGTACATAGCTCACTTTGTACAAACAGTCTACCTTAAATCTGTTATTCAAAGTTTTGCCAAGTGGTTGGAATAAGCATCACTGTTGTCTCCATGGAGACGTCTCGATGGTGGTTAACATGTTATGAATTTGTGAAGTCATGGAATCATATTTATGGCAGCATGAAACACTGACTTGTCTGGAGACTCCGCGAACTTGTTGGTTTGAAAATTTCCCAGTTTTTATTAAATGACAATGTGGATTAAGGCCAGATCAATTTTGATTTTGGATGTTCATGTAAGTGACACTATTTTGCATTTAACTGTGCTTCTAATTATGGTGACAATATTAAGATTCCGATAAAAATTATTTTTGAAACTATCATTTGGTCTTTTGGTTATCATAAAGCCTCACATTTCTGATGTCCCCACAGTGATATTTTTTTGAAAATGCAAAAAGTAAGTTAAAACTATCCTTTAAAAAAAATATTGAATGAAATTAGTTTTGAACACAGTAACATCTTTCAAACAAATGAAATGTTTCAAACAAATTATGAATTGATATACATTTTTATAACTTTTTAATATATTTCAAATTGTTTGGTAAGCTCACTTTTAGAAACAAATAAATTGTTCTGGCCTTATGAGCACTTTTCAAGCCATAACAAAGTGTTTAGAATCGTTTTCACAATGTGTCAATCATAAGAAATGTTAAAGCAGGTTCTTCATTTCTATGCCCTGGCAAGAATGAAACGGTCATGTTTGAGATGATCTGATTGGCTGGCAGCTAGCTTGGGAGAGTCCATCCTGAACTATACGTGGTGGCACCACCTTATCCAATTTGTATATAATCACTTGAATAAGCAGTTATATCAGGGAATACAGAGTAGACCTCAGGGCGGCTACATCGTCTTTAGCTGGAGAGACAAACTAGCTTTCCCCACATCAACAGACTGGTGGGTTACTCTCAGAGGCGAGGGGTGCATTTTAGTCAAAAAATACATCTACAGATTTATCTTTAGCTCTGATCCGATACATCCCTGCATGAAGATCTGGTCGGTTACTATCAGAGGGGGTGGGGTGGGGTGCGTTTTAATCTTTAAAAAATGGACATCTACAATACACTTATCTTTTGCTCTGATCCGATACCTCCCTGTCTGAAGATCTGATGACTTCTGGGCACATGTGCCCAGAAACATAAGGTGCCACAATTTGCTGTGCAGAGTTGTGTCCCTTGGGCACACCAGGAAACTTGGTTGATTTTGAATCCTGGTTACCACCCATCGTGTGTTTCTAGGTTTTGCCGGCCATACCTGTACTTGTGGTCTTCCAGAGATGCCAACCTCTACGATTTTATCGTAGTCGCTATGAATTTTAGCCGCAAACTATGCCAATACGATTGCACTAGAAATTCTACTATATTTGAAGAAAATTGATTAATATTCAGATATATAGACAAAAACGTATATTATCGTTGATTAAATACATTTCGCCAAACAGAGATGACAAGAAGAAATGTAATGCTGATAATTTGGAAATCTGCTGTTGGAGGTATGTGAAATTAAAGCTATACTCAGCCTGTTTCTGGTGTCCTCCGCCATAATATTACTGGAATATTGCCAAAAGCGGAGTAAAACTGAACTCACTCACTCACCCTGAGTGAAGGTTTGGTTCTTTGGCCAATCAGATGTCTGCTTTCTGAAGCAGTTACCATTTCTTTGCCATTAGAATCCGTAAATTCAGTTTACGAAAACGACATCACATTCGACACCGAAGGGGTGCTTCTCCCATTAGGGTTTAAGTCTATGCTTTCAGCAACAGAGTGTATAAAGGATCCACGAAAAGATAATAGCATGGGCTTTGTTATTTACATTTGGAACCGGTCAGTCAAGTCCGTCTTTTTATGTAGATCTTCAAGAGGAGAGGTATCAGATCAGAGTGAAAGATGTAAATGAGATTGAATCAATCCTTGTTATATTTTCAGTAACCTTGTCAGTTTTTTCTACTTACATGATGCCCCTTGCATATGTTTGAGTAACAGGCCAATCTGGAAGGGGCTCTTTCAGCCAGTTCATGGTAGGAGATATAGCCAGAGGTAGCTGCAAATGTATTTGATAGAAAACTGTTGCAGACTGGAGCAGGTGCTTGTGACTCCATCTTTGACAGCCTGTTTAAGTGGTAGAGTACATGGCTATGGCATTAAATCAGGCGAAAGAGCCCCTTTAAATTTGCCATGGCAACAGATGTTAAATTTAGCATGGTGCAGACTTGATGGAGACGGGTTGTCATGGTTACCTTTAATAAAAAAAATTAAACTTTGATTGTAGTTAGTTGTTGGGAATATTTTGACAGTGTTTTAACCAAACTTCATCAGTCTGAACCTGTTCTTTATATAGGATAGACATTTGTTACCATGGCAACGATCCTTGCACTCTCAAGAACCAGATTTAAGGCTTTAATTTAAGGCTCTGTAGATTACATGAACTTGGGTATCCAGCACATCAACCGTATTTTGTTTTGGGAAAATTAAGCGTGATTGTCCTGGATATTGTAAACAGTACTTGGATACAATCCATCTGACGAATTCCTCAGATTTTTATGTTTTACTGTTTATCTATAGATGAAAGATACTATGTAAATTCATTTTAAAATCATGGCTTTGATGATAATTATTTTATTTCAAGAACTTCTTGTCAGTGCAAGGGTCAAAGTTCATCAACTATTGCAGACTTTTATAAGAGTGTTCTGGTGTAGCTGACAATTTTTCGTCCTCCATTACAACACTGTTGCTTGGCTGTCTAATTTTTGTTTTATAATGGTAGTACAGGAATCCTTGATCTTGAAGGATCATTTTTGAAATATCCACCCACTGCACTCATTAATCGCTTGTCTTTCATACACCCAAAACAGTGGTGAAGTTGCTTTTTCATTATTTGATAGGCGGTTATGATGGGAGTTACCTGCCCTTGCCTTTATTTTTAATTTGGTTTTAGTGGGATTTAGAGTTACCTAGCCTTGCTTATGTGTGAAAATTGGGTTTGGTGGGATTTAGAGTTACCTGCCCTTGCCTGTATTTTTAACTTGGTTTGGATGGGATTTAGAGTTACCTGCTCTTGCCTTATTGGAAAATTGGTTGATGTGGGGTTTTGAGTTACCTGTTCTTGCTTTATTTGATAGTTGGTTTACCTGCCCTTGCCTTTGTTTGAATTTTGGGATTTCTGTTGGAGCCGACTGCCTTCAGACAAAAGCCATTCAGAATATACAGTAATACTAGTTTATTCTTGCTCGCCCAACTGCTGTAATCTTTATTGATTTGAAAAAGGAAAATCAATGGCCACAAAACATCTGTTACACATAAGCAGAAATACTGCTCACTGTGCGGAGTTGCCTCCCTTTGGTTCACTAGAAACAAGTTGGCTCGAGGGTTTGTCATCACCATCACAGGTTCCAAGGGTTTCACCATGGGGCTAATTGCCCAACACCTGCATCTCTTTGGATTTCCTCCTCAAAGCTGGTGTACCATGATATAACTAGAATATTATTCAAGACTGCATTAAGCCCAAAACATTCACGACTGCTGACATAGAGCTGGAGGTGAGGTGAAATTGGGTTTAACGTCGTGCTTGAGAATATTTCGCTCATATGACGACGTGCATGTGTGTGTATGTGTATGTGCGGCTGCTTGTACTAGCCCAGACTGAAGCTGGTTTTATATTGCTAGCCCACTGAGATACCATGCCGCAGTGAAGCATGAATACTCCACTCAGACACATTATACTGACTCCGAGCCGATCAGTCCTTCTTGTACCCGTTGATGCCGAGAGCCAGGCAGGGACCAACAAGTACCATATTTTAACGTCTTTTTGGTATGACGCGGTCGGGGATCGAACCCGCGACCTTCCGCTCTCCGGGCTGCTCCACCACGGAGGCGGTCCATAGAGCTGGAATATTGCTGAGGCAGCGTTAATCACCAATCCAAACATTCACTTTCCCCAGCTGAACAAACATCTTAAGATAAGGTATTGAGCTCTAGAAACTAAGTTTTTCATTAAAGTTTCGGCTTCCTGAATAACTGGTCAGCAATAACTCCACAACAAATGTATTTATGTCTCAATTTTGAATGACCCAGTGATAACAGATTTTCATTATCATTATTATGCTCATAGAAATGAATAAGGGAACACATGAAAGTACAAGTGTTGCTTTATTCTTTTCCAGGTTTGTTCACAAGGTGTGTATTGCACTGTGAGTGAAATTAAATAAATAAATAAAGAAGCACTTGTACTTTCATGTGTTCCATTTTTCATTTCTATGAGTATATTATTGCTGAACCAAGCCTATTGATTATAAAAATTATTGTTGTCAATCACTGAATATGGGAAATATGTGGCATCAGTTCCGGTAGACTTTTAGGACTTGGGGTTAGCCTTGTGGTAAAAGCATTCGCCCAGCCTGTGAAAGACCCTTGTTCAATCCCCCATGTGGGTGTGTGAAGCCCATTTCTGGTGTCCCCTACCGCGATCTTGCTAGAATATTGCTGAAAGTCATCCTCTCTATCACTAGACTTTTAAGTCTGTTCTTAAATGTCTGATTCTGGTGTTCACCATCATGATATTGCTGGTATATTGCTAAAAGCGGCGTAAAACTAACTCTCACTCACTTAATTATCTGACAGTTTCTCTCCCCTCCCTTAATTGTAGTGCAGCAGTGTTTTGCATGGAGGACGATCATCATCATCATCATCATCATCATCATCATCATAGCTGCCTATCTCATTGTTGTCATGTGACTAGTGTTCAGAAACTCACTTCCGCCTAGCGAGAAATATGTTCAACTTCAAGTGCTCAAAAAGACAAATTATGATTATATTTAGAGAAAGCTTCTTACAAATTTGTTCGAAATTGATTTTAGTTCTCAAACAGCACTGATTCACAAGAGATATTTGTTTTGTCAGATTCGTTCTACTGTGCATTTCCAACAGGGAGTATATACCTTGCACCCCTATTGTTGTAATGGCACGGTCCGTTATTAGTTGGTCCGTTTACAGTATGGTGCAACATTCATGTACACTTAGACTCCATAACCAGAGTTAGCATTGTACATACCGGAGCTTATTATTGTACAAAATTAGCCTTACTTAATCACCAGTGTAATTCTGTCATCATAGCCCATAACCTGTAAACTGGCCAGTTCACAGCATCCAGTATCCTGTGCCCAGTGACCGCTGGGAAAGAAATATTACCAGGATCCAATTATGTTACAGTTTGTTTGATTTGTTGGATAGAAAACTGTAAAACTTGATCTCAAATTTCATGTGTGTAACCCCTACCCAGATCATCCTCGATAGTCAAGGGAATATTCCTTTGCAGTAAGCTTACAACCCTGGATGCACAATAGTCTCATAGTGACTCTATAATAATACATTTGTAAAGCGCCTACAATCCACCTTACAGATGCTCAGTGGCGCTAATTTTAAGATTAAATTTTAATTTAATAAATTTTAAGGTTTTTTTTAAATTTAAAATTCATTTTGACAAAGTATAAAGTATGTAGTGAATTTGTCTTTCATAGAAATGTTTGGAAACAATCACAATATTTGTTGATTAGTAAAAATTTTCATTTAAAGTTTATGACTTGTTTTTATCTCCTGAACCGGGGGATTTTCTTTTAAAATATTAAATTTTGTTTAATTCAATGTTAAATTCAAATTCTATTAAATTTGAAGGCATTTTAAATGCTTTTTCATGTAATTATATTTGTGTTAATTTCTCTTTGTGTTTTTCATCAAGACAGTACGTTCCCACACAAATCACTTGTATCTGTTGTATCCAGGGTTGTGGTTGCCATGGAAATGGTTCCTGGATTTTGAGGGCATTACACAGATGGCCATTCTGTTTCCGAATTCTTTTACTGCCATAAATGTTGTTTTGGTTATTTTAGCGGATTTCTGTGACGGTGGTTCCGTATCATTACAAAGAGCAAGGCCTCATCCATTGTGATTGTCTTATCACATAAATATATATATAGATATACAATATATATATATACGTACAGTGTACAGTGGTTGATATATACCTGTATATCTTGTTGTGTACAGATGCGATCAGACGAAACGGACACAGCACTTGTCCGTTGCTGTCGCTCCACTTTCATGTTTTAGGAGTCAATAAATTTTGTCTATGCAGATTTCAGCTTTGTTGTTCCTAGAAATCCAAAGGGGCAGTGGGGTAGCCTAGGGGTTAAAGCGTTGGCCGCGTTGTCGTAAGAGGCAACTAACAGGATCGAGTGGTCAGGCTCGCTGACTTGGTTGATATGTCATCGTATCCCAATTGCGTAGATAGATGCTCATGCTGTTGATCACTGGATTGTCTGGTCCAGACTTGATTATTTACAGACTGCCACCATATATCTGGTACGTTTTTGAGTGCGGTATTAAACAAACAAATAAACCAGTCACCTTACAAAATGTGGGTTTGCAGGTTATGTTTGAAAGTCTCAAAGTTTAGTGTACTCTTAAATCATGAAAGTTACGACTGATCAGGGGTGACTCAATATCACGTGCTGGAAGAAGCTCTAGAAGAAAACACACAAGAAATCATACACAAGTATTTATTGTGGAAGAATGGAAGCAAATATTTGGAGACAAAAGCCTGAAAATCTCAGGTGAAATGACAAGGCACTCTCTTACTTCAATGACTTCTAAGTGTACGAACAGTGGAGCAGAAGTCAGCATGTCTGCTTTAAAAAATTATTCTTTCATAGTACTGTAGTTAATTCGAAGGGAATGAGTTAGAGAATATGGTTTTACGCCACTTTTAGCAATATTCCAGCAATATGGCGGGGGACACCAGCAATGGGCTTCACACACTGTGCCCATGTGGGGAATCGAACCCGGGTTTCGCCGTGATGGGCGAACGCTTTAACCACTAGGCTACCCCACCCCCCAATCGGAGGGTGTATTGCTGGTATCTTGCATCACAATACATATCATGATACAGACTGACAACAGCCACAGTTATTACTAAGAAATATTAGGAATTGATGAAACCCCTCAAAAACAACTAAAACATTTCTTGCTTCATACATTTTTACAGATTATTATCTCAAATCTGGTTGTAACTGAAATATGGTTATCTGACATTTCTAGTAGTATATACTGCACAAAACAAATTAAGGAACTAGGAGGATGTGGGTTGCAATTCCACCAGCCTTATATTAACTTTTTTATATAAATAAATTGGGTGTTCTCTGATGTAATATCATGAATATATTCAAGATGCCCATCTTACTAAGATTTAACCAATACTAGACATTTGGTTAATATTGATAATTAATATGAATGGCAATAAAAAATTCATAACGTCAGACCAAATTATTTACTTGTTTAAGGAACCAACGAGTTGATATTTTTCTAAAATACATACCGGTTGATGCATTTAAAAAATACATACACAACTTATGTTCCTGCCAGAAAAATACACAATAAAATTCACCCCAATGTTTTATTCAAGTTTTTCAAGGAAGCGAAGTCACTATCATAGTCAATATGAAAGCTGTGTAGCCATTGGTTATTTCTCTATCAACAGCCAATCATGTTTCTTGAGGCCTGTTTAGGCTGCAAATCAAAAATATCAACATTGATGTTGAATCATGTTCCCATATATTTTGATGGTTCACACTATTATTTCTTTTTCATTATGTGAAGATATTTTAGGGTAACAGTTGTGAAAGGTCTGTTAACATTGTCAAGGAGTTTAACTCTCTGACTCGTGATGACTCTGTCCTGTGTTCTCGACAAAGTGAACATCGGAAGTATTCAGATAGAATCACGTGACACATAACCATCCTATTCAGATCTGTGAAGGGGCGGTGGGGTAGCCTAGTGGCTAAAGCGTTGGCTCATCACGCCGAAGACCCGGGTTCGAATCATCACATGGGTACAATGTGTGAAGCCCATTTCTGGTGTCCCCCGCCGTGATGTTGCTGGAATATTGCTAAAAGCGGAGTAAAACCAAACTCAGTCAGTCAGATCCGTGAAGATCCGGATACGATCAGTCTGCAGTCTGCAGGAGTGCATGACCTTGGTCTGAATAGATGCATGAGTTGATGACCAGGATCGGGTGGTCCCTGAATAGATGCATGTCATCTTATGCCAACTGCATGGACCGATGCTCATGACATCAATCACTGGATTGCCTGGGGCTCTTGACAAAGAGAACATGAAACATGTTTAGATAGAATTTAGGTGACAGACATCAGTCCAAGGCAGACCTGTGAAGATCTGGGTTAAAATTGGTCTTCAGCAACCCATATTTGTCTAAGAGTTGATGAACAGGATCGGGTGGTCCCTTAATGTATGTCATCCTATCGCAACTTCATGGACCGATGCTCATGACATTGATCACTGGATTGTCTGGTGCTCTCGACAAAGAAAACATGAAATGTGTCCAGATATAATCACATAATACAAAACCATGAAGATGAAGGTACAAGTGGATCTTCAGTAACCCATGCTTGTCTTAACAGTCGACTAACGGGATCGGGTGGTAAGGCTCGCTGACTTGGTTGACACATGTCATCGTTTCCAATTGCCTAGATCGATGCTCCTGCTGTTGATCACTGGATTGTTTGATCCAAAGTCAATTATTTACAGACCGACACCATATAGCTCGAATATTGCTGAGTGTGGCGCTACATGTCTAGAAGGTTTGAAATGGTCTTCATCAACCTATGCTTGTTGTAAGGGTCAGCTAACAGGATCGGGTGTCAGGGCTCGAATTAGTGCTTTGTTACTTGCACTAGTGCAACCCAACATTACAAAGTGCAACGTAGTTATTAGTCTAACTTGCACCAGGTGCAAGTCACATTTTGAGTGGGTAATCTTCTGAATGAAACATCTAAAGAATTGCATCTACATATTGCAATAAAAGCAGTGCAACCTGAATTGGCTGGTGCAACCAGGTTTTTATCTTAGGTTGCACCTGGTGCAAGTAGGTTAACATCTCTTAAATTGAGCCCTGGGTGTTCAGGCTCGCTGCTAGTTTGATACTTGTCATCATATTCCAGTTACATAGACATGACACATGATATCAATCTTTATATTAACTAGTCAAGACTCATTTATTTACACTCCACCATTTTATAGCTGGCATATTGCTGTCAACAAAACAATCCTATGCTTCACGGCATGTTCCAAAATTCTAGAAACTTCCCTTGAACACTTCAACAAATTCCCTTCACTTCAGACATTTTATCAACAATTTTCCATTAAACAAGTAATAACTTGGTTTGGTCTATATTTTCATCCCCCCAATATGTTTACACTAATATCAACTTCAGTTTTTATGAAAATCCAAGAAAATGTTCCTGCAACTTCCTCCAGAACAGGTAGACAATGGCGATGTGCAATAGCCTTAACCAGTGAAAACTATATCACTTCATTCAGTGATTTGGGATTTTTTGCCAAGACCAGACCAATTTTATTTCTTGTTTTATGGATTTTTGTCCTCAGAAAACCTAAAGGCAGGAGGGAAAAAATATATTTTAAAAAATCACCAGTCAAAGTAATATATCTTTTAAATGCTAAAAGTATTTTACTTTTGGAAATTTATTAAGTGTATATGGGGCAAAATAACAATCTAAAAATTGTTTGTGTAAGTTTACATTTTTGGCCAATAACAATAGAATTTTATTGTTTGAGCAGGGAAAATTGATTTTTATTTTTTTGTTCTTATTCTTGCAAAAATATGACCAGGTGGATCTGTAAAACAAGAAATAAAATTGGTCTGGCCCAAGGTTCAAATAAATAACAGACATGAGAAATTAACACTGTTCAATATATTTATGTACAATAGTAGGGAGGAATAACAGGAATGTCAGTGGAAGACGTCAGCTGTTCAAGCGAGATCCTGAAGAAATGACTCGGTACTGGCAGATAATATATTCACACAGACTCTAAGTTGAAATCTACGACATAGTTACAAAGTTCTTAAGACATCAACCACTTTGGTCAAACTTCTACTTGCATCAACAAACAAGTCATAATCAGGGCAAATCGGGATTCAAAGCCATGGTTGTAGGATCCTGTCACATCTAAGGGACATAACTCTCCACAGCAAAATCTAGTGTATTTCATGACTGGGCCATCTGGACACAGTTTCAGATAATAAATATGAGGATTTTACAAATGTAAAATTTACATGTAATCCCAGAATTTGAGACTCGTTCCAGAAAGTGATCTTAAAGCTACAATTATCAACCATGTTAAAGTATTGGAGTTAGGACATTTATACAGCCTTGCTCTAAGGCTGTACTGAATGAGCCCATGGATGTATAGTAATTCAATCCTCCAGAAAGGCAAGTCTAGATAAGCAGACAGTGCAGTCTATGATCACAGTCTGTTAGAGGAATATTTATATTTTTTAGAAATTATCATTTAAACTACAGTCGAGCACCGTTGTCTCCATATTCATGGGACCAGGAAAAAATATCGAGTTATCCGAACTTCGAGACATCCGACAAGGGCATATCATCAAATATCATTATGAAAGAAAACAAAATGCTTCTCAGTATGTTTTGATTCGAAACTATGATCTGTTATCGTAACAGTGAGTACTTCCTAATTAATTCCTTCTTAATTAATTCTAATTAAATAACAAACAAGTGACACCTTCAACTCAATTAGCCCTAATTAGTTTACACTACCGCATCCCTTTGATTCATGCCGCTTGTGTGGAAACAACCTCAGTTCAGAGGGACACTTGCCCATGAAAGGTAGGTGAATATCGAGTTTCTTCGCAAATATCAAGTTAAAAGGGTAATTTTGCTTGTTGGGACCATGAAATGATATCGAGATATCCAAAATATCAAGACATCCGTATCGAAGTTAAAAGAGCTTGAATAATAATAAATTATGGAGGATTTTGCCGGGACGGAGATGTTCAATCGAGACAACCGAGATATTGAGTTATCAGAGTTCGACACAACGGTGCTCGACTGTATTAATTATTACCTTAGAGACTTGTGCAAGTCTAATCATAGTACTGAGATCACTTTGCTGAACAGGGTGTTGTACAAAGCGATTTAAGGTGATCAGTGGGCTAGCAATATAAAACCGATATGGGGGATCATCTTACACACGCATGACTGCTGTAATCAAGCACGCGTTAAACAACACCCCTGGGCCATATTTCACATAAGGATTGACTGGTCCCTCTAAAATCTACAACAACACCCTGGTGAAATGTGCTGAATATTGGCTTGAAAGAATTTAAGAATTTCACAGATGTTGCACTATGTTTTTTCTATATCAGTCCTACAACTATGGGGCCATACAATTGGACTCATATTTTTTAATTGTTAAAGTGCATTGTGATAAGGCATCGTATCCAAACCAGTGATGATTTTATAATAAATATTTCTGAAAAATATCTTTTGGGCTGTCAATATTTTTTAATGTGTTTCTCATTTCCAAATTCAACCAGCAAGAGATACTGGTATGCTAAAAACATCAATAAAAATATGTAATATTTTTCACTAATTGGGTGACATATGTCATGGGATTTTCAAATTTAGATCACTTGGTAATTGTCTATAAATGAATTTGTGATGTAGGTTGAGTGTCTTCGCTTTGGAAACGATTTATTAAGAGAGTGAGTGAGTTTAGTTTTACGCCGCACTCAGCAATATTCCAGCTATATGGCGGCGGTCTGTAAATAATTGAGTCTGGACCAGAAAATCCAGTGATCAACAGCATGAGCATCGATCTGCGCAATGATCTGTTTTTTATGGCGCCACGGTAAGAGTATTTCATTTCCACAGCACCCAGCACCCGTGAAGATCTGGGTTAGAATTGATCTTCCGTGACCCATGCATGTCGTAAGAGGCGACTAATGGGATCGGGTGGTCAGGGTCACTGACTTGGTTGACATATGTCATCGTATCCCAATTGCGTATGTTGATCGTCATGCTGTTGATCACTGGATTGTCTGGTCCAGACCCGATTATTTACAGACCGCCGCATATAGCTAGAGTATTGCTGAGTGCAGCGTAAAACTAAACTCACTCACTCACTCATTTCCACAGCAGCAGGAATGAAAATTCAGAGTGTGTGTATGTGTTTGGGGGGGAGGAGGGGGGAAGGAGTGAGGAGATGGGAAACACAGGAAACAAATATAGACTCCCAAGAAGTGTTTAATTTGAAATATTCTCATGTTTAATAAACTATTCAACAAATACTTAATTAAACATAAAAATATATACCACTGAGTAAGATGTGTAATTATTTCAAAATATAATGGAGTGTAGGCACTTGAATGAACTCCATGAACTACAGTGTATTACAATACAAAAACAATAATCAAATTTATACTAATGTAAAATGTAATTTTGTAAGGTTGAGATGTTTTCATATTCAGTGAGAGATATGAAATAGGAAAATTTCTAAAATACAAAAATATTTTATCTATGAAACTGAGAGACTGAATGAAGGCATGAAGTTTGATACAATAAATGTGCTATTTCTTGAAAATATCATTCATTCATGTACCAAGAGAGGAAATATGTTTTGGCTTCCTGCATTACCTAATAGTCTGCACAGTTATATCTATAACCAATAAAACATATTATTACATAATTTTAATTTGTTTTAATTTAAAGAGTTACATGAAGCATACATTATCACATATCATTTTTACAATAATCACAAAATGGACTATGAGACAATTTAACCAAAAATAATTTATTTTTAAGACTAAAATTAGTCTACTAGTTGACCACCCAACCACGATTCTAGTCCCCATGAAGCCACCGTTATTAACACCTGTGACCAAGAATGCCCGAAAGGCTGTTGAACAGGCCACTGTCTGTATGTATTCCACTTGTGGATTTGAATGAAGCTCCTACTGATGAGTTGTCTCCCTTGGATCATGAGGGCTGACTTCATTGGTGCATCATTTTACATCATAATATACAAATGTTTAACATGCTACAAAATAGGGGAATGAAATTACAAAAGTATATTTATCTATATATACAAATACTACAAACAGATACACTGTGATTTTGTCATCTATTGTATAATTAAGTTAAATTATGTTTGTACCATCTTGCTGAGGCAACCATTTTTGAAGTCCAGTTAAGTCAAATTTCCATCTAGGCCAGTAGACACTTTTGCCTCAGGAAGATGTAGCTTAACATGTCACTGACGTTTCTTGTGTCAAATTATATCTTGAAAATATGAGTATTTTATCTTACAAGCAAAATCACCCAGAATTACATTTATGTACAATTTAACACAGATATTAACCCTCAAGTATTTAATGTCATTAAAAATGCCTAAACACATAAAATTAAACAGAAATGTAACTTTCAAAAACAGGTTCTTCATTTTACCAATCAGAAGATTCATTATTGCTATTTCTCATCCATATGACCTTTAAATTTGCATATTCATTGACAATTACTGACACAGACTATTTGCATATTATCAGTAGCTCTTTATACAGACAAAATAAGATGTCTATCATATCACAAGCTTACACAAACCATTTCCAGGCACCAAACTTCGCAAAGAATCTAAGTAGCACTGATTTTGTATGTTACATCTTTAACACACAATATGGCAAACATCCACTAATGGAATAATCCATTTCAGCTTTAAGGTGATACAGTTTCAAACCTGAAACAATTAAATGTTTTTAAGCTTTTCATCACCTTGATTGTACAAAGAGAGATTCTTGTTTCCAACAATGGAAGAGTATATTTATGTAAAAGGGGTGTTTTACACAACACATATCAGGCTTTTGCCTTCCAGCACTTCCTCTTCTACCTTGTAGGATGAAGTGGACTCATCCGCCTTTACTGACAGGAATGCACACAAGAAAGACAGAACAGTCCCAGTGACGCACAAGTAGAACGCCCAACCTGCAAAACATAATTTTTGTGTGAATTTTTTATCATCATATGAGCACGAAAATATGTCGGAATACAAGTCACCATATTTGCTATATTTGGAGCCGAGGGTGCCATTATACAAAGCAATCTTAACATTGAGGTGTCTTTGCGCTAAGGTGATTGTAACTCCCATACCCTAACATAGACTGAAGATAGTCTTAGCGCTAAGGTGACCACAACTCGCACACCTAAACACAGACTTATGACAATCTTAACACCAAGGGGTTTTTTTAAGAACAGCATCCTGGGGCCTGATTCACAATGCAATCGTAGCGCTACGACTGTCGTAAGTATATGTTAAAGTATTGAGTTACGATCACCATAATGTTATGATCGCTTTGTGAAATGGGGCCCTGGGTGCTGTTGTACAAAACAACCTTAGAGCTAAGATTACCTTCAGTCTATGTTAAGGTATGAGAGTTACGGTCAGCTTAGTGCTAAGATTACCTTAAGTCTATGTTAAGGTATGGGAGTTACGGTCACCTTAGCGCTAAGACTACCTTCAGTCTATGTTAAGGTATGGGAGTTACGGTCACCTTAGTGCTAAGACTACCTTCAGTCTATGTTAAGGTATGAGAGTTACGGTCACCTTAGTGCTAAGATTACCTTAAGTCTATGTTAAGGTATGGGAGTTACTGTCACCTTAGCGCTAAGACTACCTTCAGTCTATGTTAAGGTATGAGAGTTACGGTCACCTTAGAGCTAAGACTACCTTCAGTCTATGTTAAGGTATGGGAGTTACTGTCACCTCAGCACTAAGATTACCTTCAGTCTATGTTAAGGTATGGGAGTTACGGTCACCTTAGCGCTAAGACTACCTTATGTCTATGTTAAGGTATGGGAGTTACTGTCACCTTAGAGCTAAGACTACCTTCAGTCTATGTAAGGTATGGGAGTTACGGTCACCTTAGGGCTATGACTACCTGAAGTCTATGTTAAGGTATGGGAGTTACGGTCACCTTAGTGCTAAGACTACCTTCAGTCTATGTTAAGGTATGGGAGTTACGGTCACCTTAGGGCTAAGACTACCTGAAGTCTATGTTAAGGTATGGGAGTTACGGTCACCTTAGTGCTAAGACTACCTTAGTGCTAAGACTACCTTCAGTCTATGTTCAGGTATGGGAGTTACGGTCACCTTAGCGCTAAGATTACCTTCAGTCTATGTTAAGGTATGGGAGTTACGGTCACCTTAGTGCTAAGACTACCTTCAGTCTATGTTCAGGTATGGGAGTTACTGTCATCTTAGCGCTAAGACTACCTTCAGTCTTTGTAAAGGTATGGGAGTTATGGTCACCTTAGTGCTAAGATTACCTTCAGTCTATGTTAAGGTATGGGAGTTACGGTCACCTTAGTGCTAAGACTACCTTCAGTCTAGCAGCTAGAGCACTTAATACATTGATAATATGGTATTACTTTAGAGGTTTAAGTTACCAACAAGTATTCCAAGCAGTGATTGAACTTAAACACTGGGTTATGATCATTATAGCGAAAAGATTTGTTAAAAAAATGGAACTTAATCATGTTAATTAAAACATAAATTTGAAAAAAAAATTCCCAATTAGGTTATGATTAACTATAAGCATAGAATCCAAGTTAAATATTGCCTATGGGTAGAGCTGGTCGGAGGGAAACCCATTCTACTGGGATATTGATGGAAGATTGGTAAAATCGGTGTGAGACAATATTGAGTGACAGACTTACCCAGACTGCACCTGTCCATGTAGAAGGGGTCTGCCTGAGCCCCGCAGTACTTGGTGACCATGTCGCTGCCCCAGCCTGCAGGGTACAGGATCAGTCCCAGGATGCACAGCAACCCTGCAACATATATCGCATCGTGTGAAACACATATTGAGTATGTGAGTGAGTGAGTGAGTGAGTGAGTGAGTGAGTGAGTGAGTGAGTGGGTTGGTGGGTGGGTGGGTGAGTGAGTGAGTGAGTGACCGGGTAGGTGAGTGAGTGGGTTGGTGAGTGAGTGGGTTGTGAGTGAGTCAGTGAGTGAGTGACCGGGTAGGTGAGTGAGTGGGTTGGTGAGTGAGTCAGTGAGTGAGTGACCGGGTTGGTGAGTGAGTGGGTTGTGAGTGAGTCAGTGAGTGAGTGACCGGGTAGGTGAGGGAGTGGGTCAGTGAGTCAGTGAGTGGGTTGTGAGTGAGTCAGTGAGTGAGTGACCGGGTAGGTGAGTGAGTGGGTTGGTGAGTGAGTGGGTTGTAAGTGAGTCAGTGAGTGAGTGACCGGATAGGTGAGTGAGTGGGTTGGTGAGTGAGGAGTGGGTTGGTGAGTGAGTGGGTTGTGAGTGACCGGGTAGGTGAGTGAGTGGGTTGGTGAGTGAGTGAGTGGGTTGGTGAGTGAGTGAGTGGGTTGTGAGTGAGTCAGTGAGTGAGTGACCGGGTAGGTGAGTGAGTGAGTTGGTGAGTGAGTGGGTTGTGAGTGAGTCAGTGAGTGAGTGACCGGGTAGGTGAGTGAGTGGGTTGGTGAGTGAGTGAGTGGGTTGGTGAGTGAGTGGGTTGTGAGTGACCGGGTAGGTGAGTGAGTGGGTTGGTGAGTGAGTGAGTGGGTTGGTGAGTGAGTGAGTGGGTTGTGAGTGAGTCAGTGAGTGAGTGACCGGGTAGGTGAGTGAGTGGGTTGGTGAGTGAGTGAGTGGGTTGGTGAGTGAGTGAGTGGGTTGTGAGTGAGTGCATGCATGAGAAGGTGAGTGAGACAAAAAAATCCTTTCTTCCAAATAACCTCCAAACCAACTGTTTAAACACTTATATTCAATCATGAAATAATGAATGTGGATCACATGGTCTCAATAAAACAGATCCTTGTTCATGTTATCAACCATTGCTTTGTCAGGTCAAGACTTGATAATTGACAGACCAACAGCTGAAATATATCTGCCTCCTACATCAATATGCAAGCACTCTCTAATGAGGCCATTGATGAAATAATAAAGCACTTTCTTCACCCATTACAGCACCCTCAACGCAAGGACCCTTCATAATAAACACTTGGGGATAGACTTTCAACACGCCTGTATTATAAACACATGCCAAACCCCTCCGATCAGCTGGCAGCCAACAGACCTTCAGTATGGGCCTGCCACACTCAAATAAACAAAGTTCACAGGTTTCCAGGCCCTGTATTTGTTGCTGTCGTGTAGTTACTAATGTTGGGAATTGGTTAAAATCTCATAATTGATGACTGGTTCATTACAACTGATCAATCATCGAAAATAATTGGTTAGCATCATTTATCAAATTTTCCTGGTTATGTTTGTTACTGCACAAAGAATAAAGAAAAACACATTTGTAGTTCTTTCGGGGGTTTTCCACAAATTGCACAAAATGCATTTGCAAATTTCACATCTTTAAAGGATGACTAGTATGTTAGAAACATAAATTTCATGAAGACTTTAAGATAAATTCAATCATGACTTGGAACGAGCTTGTAGTGCTTAAGAAATGTAACTGATAAAACCAACCTTGTGAAATATATTGTTCATGCAAATAAGTGTTCAAAAATTGTTTGTGTTCGGTTATGAGAAAACAAGATCCATTGCTTGGTCGTTTAGTCATTGCAACTGATCTTCAATTATTTCAATTAATCGGAACACCACTAGTAGTTACTAAATGTTTCATATTAACCAGGATGTATGCCTTCAGATTTGGGGTTGAATCTAACTTCCCTTTGTATGACACAAAGTAAATAAACATAAAAAGATGTTGACGATATTGATGAGGAGGAGGAGAAGAGGAGGAGGATGTTGGTGTTAGTGATGATGATGATGATGATGATGATGATGATGATGATGATGATGACAAGCTTAAACCTGCTACACTGGACACAGAAAATTCAAGGTCTCAGGACAGTATAAAGCGATATATAAACCTTATAAACCTTAGGGAGCGAGGTGAGTGAGTGAGTGAGTGAGTGGAGTGAGTGAGTGTAACATACACAGCATAATATGTACAACGCATCTCAACATCTGTTGATGGAGATAGTAGCCATGTACTTATCATGGAGTGAGTGAGTGAGTGAGTGGGTGGGTACATACGTGCGTGCGTGTGTGAATGAGTGTAAACCTAATCTGGAACTCTGCAGCCTTCTTTCTGGAGTATCACAGCATCTCAGGGGTGTGGAGAGTTTGTTCAAGCTCATCTGGCTCAGTTAGTGTGGCATTTTAAACATTTGTCGCAGATAAATGTGGAGTTAATGATCCAACACGAAAATTGTCTGAGAGTCAAATGGTACAATTCGTGTTTGCAATCAGTTGGTTTTACTTGTAGTAAGAGCAAGATGTTAATAAAAAATTATGTAACTGCTAGATAGTTTAGTGAAATTAGTTTATTTGTTGAGAGACTTTTTGATCAACATTTTAAATGCTTGTTCGTCATCAATCATTTTTCAGATTAAGAGTTATCCCGTTCAGTTGCCCAATTTTAGGAACATAGAAATATGTTATCATGTTTAGTTGATTGTTTTTAGTTTAAATTCAAAAAAATCTATTTACTACTTTTTAAAAAAGTATTTAACATTTTATATGCCACAACCACAAATATGTTGCATTTCTCTATATTTAAAAAGAAGAAAAATAATCAAGCTCATGGGTTGAAGTAGGAAACCTATACTACTCAAATTTTGATAGGGTTCACTACATATATCATGGAAAGACATAACCTTATCAAGACTGGAGTAGTATACATATTTTTTGCCCCACACAATAGTAATGGCATTTTCTTCCCTCTTCCGGACCAAACCAGGGGAAACGGAGTAATTGGCAGAGTGTTACAACCGTTACCACATGTCGAAATAAATCTTTTATGTTGAAAAGGTTATTCAGTCTATTGGAGCAAAATCGTTTGTAAATGGGTGAAATGGGAGGGGGCAAATTTAGAAATGTGTTTCAATTATTCAATTAATGTGTTAAAACAAATTCTGCCTGCCATTTTACAGGCTAGAAGAACCACTGCACCGAGAACGGAAGGTCTGAGACCATAACCCAGTCATTCCAAAGGATGTCAAGGAATGATACTTGCTGTTTGGCTAACTGACATAGACTTATACATTGTCTCTGAAATATATATATTTTGAAAGATGGGAGATTCAGAACAGGTCTGCAGAAAATCTAGACTTGCTTGATTTGGGCTTTAGCATTGTAGAAATGCATCGGAGGAAGGGAAAATAATGCGGTTCAGGGTCTGTGAGACAGGTTCTGCCTGCCTTTATAGGGATAGAACTGGTGTGGTCAGCCTGTGGTCGAAACTTTTACTGAGTGGACAGGTACTTGTAAACTGACCTTGATCCAGACTGTCAATCCATCCATCCATCCATAATCAAGATGCTTAAGATTGACTGATTGATTGATTGATTGATTGATTGATTGAGTTTAGTTGCACGCCACACTCAGCAATATTCCAGCTGTATGGCGGCAGTCTGAAAATAATCGAGTCTGGACCAGACTATCCAGTGATCAACAGCATGAGAAACAATCTACACATGACATGAGTCAACCCAGTCAGCGAGTCTGACAACCCGATCAGACGCTTAAGAACAATCGTCAATGACATGAACAAGTATAAAAAATGTCACTAACTTTTAAAAGATAAGTTTGTCTTACAACACCCCGTAATTTGAATATTGACAATGTTTGAGACAAACATAACAATAAGAACAGTCATCTTGAACAAGACATTACACCCCATCTCCCTGACAACAATATTGTATTAGCATCACACACCGATCCACTCAACCCAACCCAACTCCAAAGCCAGGTTTCTAGTTCTCAGGTTTGAGATCGTTCCATGATTTGTTTGGGTCTGATTTCTCCCAGAAGTTCAGTTTCTCTGTCTTGTCTTTACCAGACTATCAACCAAAATATATGACACACCCAATCCTGACATAGAAAAACATCATCTCATCCTTAGCCATGTTTTTATTGCCTCTGGGGGGCACTCCCCCATCGCCCCCCTCCTCCCCAACAGAATACCCTTCCTCCATGGCATTTCAAACAAAAACAGGACATCCTGAAAAAGAGGAGAATGAAATAACACCCCCTCCCAGAAAAGTTTAAAAAAAGAGAGTTTGTAAAGAGTTGTCATATGTTAGCCAGCTTGATATTAACTACATGTTTGGAACCTCCCGGGGATGACACAGGTGGCACAGGAACGCACTGGTTAGTATTGGATAGTTTAGAACATCAGTAGTTGGACACACACACTCTCATGTCACCCTACATCTCTCTTGAAACTGAAGTTGAACACACAAACATGTCATCCCTGGGAATGTCATCGTATCCCAATTGCGTAGATCGATGCCCATGCTGTTGATCATTGGATTGTTTGGTCCAGACTCGATTATTTACAGACCGCTGCCATATAGTTAGAATATTGCTAAGTGTGGCATGATTAAACTCACTCACTCACTTTCTAGGACACAGTAGTTGAACACCCTATCTATCAGGAAACTGTAGTTGAACACCCCATCTATCAGGAAACTGTAGTTCAACACCCCATCTATCAGGAAACTGTAGTTGAACACCCCATCTATCAGGAAACTGTAGTTGAACACCCCATCTACCAGGAAACTGTAGTTCAACACCCCATCTACCAGGAAACTGTAGTTCAACACCCCCAACATCTGTCCTTGGAAAGGTAATTACACACTACCCCACCTCCATAACTGTCCTGGGAACTCCGAGATCACCTGTTCCCTGACATTTCCCTGCAGTAGCCTCACTATCTGACATTTGCCTGGGGGGACATGTGCTGGGGGGTTGGGGAGAGGGAGGATGTATGTTGTGGGAGGCTGAGGGCAAAGGGTGTAGGCAGCCGCTATTA